CATTGAGCAGCTCACCCATACAAATCAATGTACTTTCACGAATCAAGGTGCTTTGCCTTATGCAATCAAATGAGAACTCATAGAACTCACATGCATAGTCAACTCAACTGGAATAGGCACAGAAACAAGAATATGTCAACACTATAAGCTATCAACCTCAGGTCGTGTGCTAGTGATTACTAAAAGGTGTATTCTTGATTAGTTCCTGAAACTATTCAAGACTATTAAGACTCCCACTGACCTCTTGACATATAAGATTCTCTGTCAAGGAACATTCCTTGACAAACAAATATTTAAGAGTTAGTGAGGATTCTTATCAAGACAACACTTTATCCAATTGGTCTTAGTTGGTCTTTGTTTTAACCAAAACATCACAACTACCAATTTCAAATGTGCAAGAGTTAGAAAAAATTTACACTCCACATTTCATGAGGTGTTACAAACCTACTTAGAACATGTTACTTAAGGTACAACTTGGAGTAGCTAGTTTATATCTCTAAAATTCGATTTTGGAACGAAGTACGACTCATCCTTTTGATTTAACCATTTCACCAATTCCCGATTCCTCTTCTTAGTCATATAAATGCACTAAGGTGTCCTTAGAGGATCAACCATGACAAGGTTCCACAAGCATTAGAATGATCATAAAACACGATACTAAAGTACTCTCCTTTCCTTCCAGATTGGAGAAAATTTTATCTTTCTGCCTAATTGATTCTTCTTATTTGTTCTGCTATACTTTGAAACTTTTCCAAGGTATCAGAATTACACTTAATCTTGTAAGTATAATCATATTTACTGAACCAACAGTAAATCATGACGAATAGACTTTATCGTCCTTTGTGGTGGATCTGAACACTCCACATCAACGTGTACTAGATCCTTTAGTCTTTTCACTTGACTCACATATACATGTGAACAAGGAATTAGTCTTAATTTTCCAAAGATCAAGATTCTCATACATCACACCATTCAAATCGCATGATTCCAAGTTTCTGTCCAATTAAAACTTGGGTGACGAGAATTCTTCCTCACTTGGTAAATTATGACACTTCCACAAGCTATATTACTAAGAATCAAATCCATTTCCAACATTGCTAACAATATAAATATAAACACCAATTCTCATAAATGTCATTGCAAGGAATAAGATAAAATCAAAATATATTTTATTGATAAAATGCGGAAAACTTGTCCTTACAACGCAAGTACAAATGAAAACTATGTTACTAAATATTCCTAAGCAATCTATCATAACTCTTAAGTAGTAGCTCCAAATTCTGAACATTTAACCATGTGACCGAAATCCATTTCTTCAGATCAAAATCAACCTACTCTTCCTTTAAGCTTCCTTCCTTTTCTTCGATCCTACAAAACATCAAAATGCAATCTGATCACATCATATATTAAGAATCTATAAATAGGAACTTAATAGAGTTAAATAGTGGACTTGCCTGAAGTAGAGTCATTCAATTTGACTTTACCATCTCTTAGATCTCTCAGGTAATCTAGGCAGCTTCGCTTCCAATGTCCCTTCAATTGGCAGTAGAAACATATGGACTCTTTAGGAGTGACACGTGGAACTATATCAGACTTGGCCTTTCTCTTACGGTCAAACTTTTTGACCATGGTCAATTTCTCTCCCTTAGGAGAAGAAATCATTTATGGATCATCATTGTCATTGCCTATGTCCATGGAAATTTGGGAGGTAGATCTTTGAAACAAATTTGCTTGACCAGTGTGCCAAAGCATTGCTGCTTCAGTAGCAATTAGAAAATAGGTCAGATCAATGAGGGTCACATTGTGATCTGTGATATAGTAGTCCATAACAAACTGACTGTATGACTCGGGAAGTGACTGAAGAACCAAGTCAACAACTAGCTTCCTTGGGAAAACGACACCCAACATTGTCAGTCTGTCAATGTGTGACTTCATGTTTAGAACATGTGCACATATAGAGTTTCCATGTCGGTGTATGCATGCCAATAGGGCTAGAGTGACCTTGAACTTTTCAAGTTCACGAAAACGTGGGTCGGGGAGAATCACTGGAGGAGGTGGAGGAAGAGAAGTATGATTTTCAGTTCCACCAATGCAGGAATAAGGGAATGATCTTTCACCTCGATCGAGCCGTGGAACATCATCTTCTAAAGAAAAGCTTTTTCCAAAGGAATAAGGAAGACCATAGTTGTCAGAACTAGACATCTACAAAAGGGGAGAAATCCAAGTTAGTTGATTTAATCCTTAATATAACACCCAAATGAAATATTAAGGCTAGGAAACAATAATTCACAATTCGGAAGAGGGATGTCGTAATCCAATTGTAAATAATTTGAAGGTAGGTAAATGACGATTTACCAATTCCACCACGAAAACAAAATTTTTAAGCGAATTAGGTTTTAAATGAAATTCCTAGATCTTTAAGATTCATTGAACTTTTCAATGGCATGTTTAATCTCGATTATGCCCTTCAAGTTAGTGACTGGGATACCGAGGATCACAAACAAGGTGTGAATAACCATGCAAATTAGCTCGGTACTCTCGATATCATTTATCATCTAATCAATGTGCCGGTTAACCACACACGCTCCATCAATCAACGATAATTTACGAGCTACCCATTTCCATCCTTCATTAGTCCCATATTAATGTGCCGGTTAACAACGCACGCCCCACTAATGACCAATAAGGTGCAATGTGCAATTTCATGGGTTAGCATCAAATTCACATTTTTCCTAAAGTAACTAGGATTGAGAATTTATAAAAGCATTTAGTTACTTTATATTTTCATTATACTTATAATGAGAGTTTAGTGTCCTATCCTACCCGTTCGGGTAACGACCCTTCGCTAGTCAAGGGTGTGGTGGGTAAGAGTGGATACCCGATGGCGGTCATTTTACAGGTCGCTTCCTTAAACACCCCTTATAGACCAGCTTCGTGAATGAGGCCTATTAACGGTAAGACTGGCTTTTCTTATACATATATAATATATTAGACTTTTAATTTTATATAGTATAAGGGTGTATTTTAAACTTTTAAAATACTAGTGGTTTAACCATTTAAATTTCCAAAAATTAAAACTTTTAATTTCAAATTCAAACTATAAAACTAAGAGGGTGTATTTTAGAACCTTTTGAAAATACTAGGTTAAGTCTTTGAATCAAAATAATCTTATATTATCCAATTTTAACCAAATCCTCAAATTTTGATAAGGATATCATGTTACCAATCAGAAAAATCGATTTTAGGCGATAAAAACGAGTTATGGTAATTATCAAAATCAAAATAATATCTGAAAATCGAAATTTTAGGCAACTGACGAGTCAACTCGTCGAGTTGGGCGAGGAACTCATCGAGTTCACCCAACTCGTCGAGTTCCATATAGAACTCGTCGAGTTCAGCAGTCAGACAACCAAAAAATCGCTTTCTTGTTCTTTCGACGGTTCACTCTTGCATCAATTCAATTGAAAAACATCTTAGGCTCTGATACCACTGATGGGTTTTGAGCATATCTACATTCCTATGTGATCATGCGACCCTAATTGCTTTGGATCTAAGTTTTTCTCTATTGAACATGCAAATATGAACACCAAAGCAATAACCCTAGATCTAGCATATATAATTCGAATTTGACATATGAAAAAGGGTTATGAACATTACCTTGCTTGCTATATAGTAATAACAAGGATTCCTAGCTTGATCTTGACCTTTGAAAGTTTAGTGCCCCAAGTGTTGCACCTCTAATGGAGTCACAAACACCAATAACAAAGGATGAAGGAGAGGCACTAGAAAAATCGGCTAGGGTTACGTAATACAAGCTTAGGCCGAAATTCCTAGGGTTTTGGGGAGTTTATATAGGGCTAGGTTGCTTAGTCTTGAAGCTGGACTTGAATAAGGAAACCCTAGTTCCTATCTTAAGCCCAAATCAACCCATGGACTCCATAAGATGCCTTGGACGAAATCTTATAGACCTAAGCTATAAATTTCGTCCACTCCCATCAAGGAGTCCTTAGGCCCAGTTTCACAACTATCAATGATTTGCAAAACAGCCCCCGTATTATTAATTAGTTCATTTAATCCCAAAATTAATATCAAATTAATTTCTGATTAAATACTAATTAATAATATGATTTCCAAATAATATATTAATCTTGTAATATATTAATAAAATCATTTTGAGTACCAATTTATTATTCAAATAATAAGTTCTACTCTCTCTCCACTAGTCATCCTATCAAGTTGTTATGGTGAAGGCAACCCAAAAGGACCATGCTCTAATCAAATCAAGTACATACCAATTATAGTTATGGGCTTAGACACCTAATCCTACAGTTCACCCTTCTGATATTGTGGGCATCTTTGACAAATATAGTTGGAAGCTAGATTCTTGTAGCTAGTAGCTAGAGATTTTATTTGTATAAAAGTGTTCGACACAAGTAGCTAAATTTTTTTAAAATATGTAAAATTACATAGAAGGCATATGGATATAAAGTAATATTATCATATAATGATAAATAAATCATATTTTCGAAACTATATTTATCAAAACTTGAAAACCATGCAAATTTTAATACCAAGTGCCCCGATTTATCTTCTCAATGGATACAAACTTTTTTTTATGCATATTAGTAATGATGACTTTTTTACAAATAAAGTAAGGGGAAATGGCACAAATGCCCTACGACTTTCTAGGGTTTACCCGTTGAGTCCCTAAATTATTTTCTTGGCTTTATGAGGGAAGGAACGTAAGTTTGTCGGATCGAAGAAGTCACTTTTTAAGGTTTGAATGGGTCACCCGGTCAATTTTTTGCCACCTCCTTTAATAAAAAACAAAGAGAGCTGACTGTGTCCTTCGTTTATTTCCACCTCATTTACTAATGTCACATCAGTTATGTAGTGTGTTCTTTACCGCTTTAAGAAGAGGATTATCAACGAAGACTATTCATCGTTCCATATCTTCCAACAAACCCTTATTTCAATATTTCTCTCCTCCTATCTCAAAGATGGATGTTGTATACATCGATATGGATGTGCACTTCCAAGGAATCTTCATGAAATATCCCGTACACTACACTGATTGGATTACTCAGAGGTTGGTCGACATAGACTTTGCAGGGATGGAGAAGGATGAGTGCTATGCGTTTATGGAAAGGGTAAGTGGAGAAAAGTGTGAGAAGCTCTACTACTGCCAACCTAATATAGATTTTCCAAAAGGTTTGATCTTAATTAGGGATGAGAAGGATTATGCCGAATTTATAGCAATTACTTACGAATATGGTGTAATACTCACGATCTATGTATACCATTTTTATAATACTAACATGCAGGAATGATAGATAAAGAGAATGAGGAAGTTGTTAATAACATGGAGGAAGAAGTAAGGGGCCCCTAAAAAGTTGATCCATTTGAGACAGGGGATGAGGATGAGGTTGAGGACGAGGATGAGGACGACGACGAGGTTGATAATGGAAGACCTTATTTTATCATAAAGGATAAGGGTAGACAATCGGACATGGGTGCCAACCCAATTGTAGCTAAGCCTGTTGATGAAGATATGGATGACAATAAAGATGTTGATCCTGAATTGCCAAAAAATTTCAATGAACATCTACACTGGAAGGAGAGGGTACCGGTGTTAGGTATGAGGTTTGAGAATCCTAAACAATTGAAACACATGCTCTGTAACTATGCTGTTGAAAATGGTTATCAGTTATGCTTTGTCAAAAATGATAGTAGATGATTGTTAGCCAAATGTTGTGAAGGAAAATGTAGTTTTAGGGTTTGGGGTTCATGGATGACTGATGATAAGTCTTTCCATATCAAGTCTCTCATAGGTGACCATAATTGTGCCAAGAATTTCAAATTAGGTTCCATTGTCACTTATAAATGGATAGGTACCCATTTTACTCAAGAATTCGTGAACAATCAAAAGATAAGTGTGAGATTATTAAGAGAGGAGGTCAAAAACACCTTTGGCATTGATGTCAGTTTGAGTCAGTGTAGAAGAGCCAAGAAGTATGCTATGACTCTTGTTGAAGGCACAATTGCAGAAAATTACTCTAGAATATGGTCATATGGTGAGGAGATTAAAAGATCAAATCCTAGCTCCACAATTAAAATTTTTATAGATGCAATGCCTGATGGGAAGACTTACTTTAGCAAGATTTACATATGCTTTGATGCAGTGAAACAGGGATGGAGGGGAGGGTGTAAAAGGATCATTAAGTTGGGTGGATGTTTCCTTAAATGTTTTTGCCAATGGAATTTGCTTTGTGTTGTGGGTAGGGATGGTTACAATGGACTATTCCCAATTGCTTGGGCTGTTGTATGTGTGGAAAACAAAGAGAATTGGAAATGGTTCATTAAAAATCTTGCAGAAGATTTGGACTGTTGGAATGGTCTTGGACTAGTTTTAATTTCTGATCAACACAAGGTATGCTTCAATTTTATACATGTATAAAAATACACAATCTCACTTACAACTCCATAATATGTTGTTATGTATGTAAGGTTTGATTGAGGAAGTGGAGGATGTATTCCCAGCAGCAGAGCACAACCAGTGTGCTAGGCATATATATATATATATATATATATATATATATATATATATATATATATATATATATATATATATATATATATATATATATATATATGCCAATTTTAGAAAGAGTCTTAGTGGAGCACAATTTGAAAACATTTTTTGGAGAGCAAGTATGGCAACAACAGAAACTCATTTCAATGTAGCAATGAAAGAGATTGAAAAGTTAAACCCTGATGCCTTAACTTATCTAATGGAGAGGGATCCAAAGACATGGTCTTTAGCTTTTTTTAGAGCTCACAATGCCTCATTTGAACCTATGGAGAATGGATTTTCAGAGAGCTTTAATAGTGTCATATTTGATGTTAAGAAGAAACCTATTATCAACATGTTGGAGGACATTCATATATTTGTCATGTAAAGGATGTTAACAATGAAAGCTAAGGGAGGAAAGTGGGGTCGTTATTCAGTTTGTCCAAACATTAGGGAGAAATTGAATATCCCTTAAACTCAGCAGAGGTATGTATACATATCACAATACACAATAATATAGTCTGTGAAATCTAATAATTCACATTACATTATGAAGGTATTGGCAGGTTGTATCTTATGGTGGGATGAAGTTTGAAACAAGGAAATTGGATGAGTCCTATATTGTTGATGTCTCAAAAAAGGAATGCAGTTGCAGGCTATGGAAACTAAATGGGTATGGGTGCGTTCATTTTGTAGCTACATTAGCATAATTAAACATTACACCTGATGGGCCATATGTTGATCTAATGTGTTTAGGAGCATTCTTCCATAATACTTAAAAACAACCCATACATGGGATGAATGGAAGCAACATGTGGCCTTGTACAAAGTACATACCCCCACTACCTCAAGTGAAAAAAGAATGTCAGGTAGGCCAAACATCAAGAGAAGAATGGATGCTTCAGAAAGGTCTAGAAAACACAGAGTTTCAAAGGCAGACAAAAAGATTACTTGTGGCGTATGCAAGCATACAGGTCACAACAAAAGCACATGTAATCAAGTGGAAAGGATACCCAAAGTTAGTGTCATAGAGAAACAAAAGGTAAGCCAAGCACAAGAGTTAGTGAATTTGCAAAATGGTGGGGACGACGCAGTTATGGTCGATGTAGGTGAACAACAAAATGTGCATGCTAATGCACCTGAACAACAAAATGTGCATGCTAATGCACCTGAACAAGTGGTCGGGGTGAATGAAGCTGTTGGGAATGTGGCTAGTGCAGTAAAACCAAAGAAGAGAAAAAAAATTAGAGAGAATTCTAAAAATGAGCTTGCTAAGGTAATTGAAGGTGAAGGTAGCACTGCTACAACAACAATTGAATTGGAGTAATTCTTGTTTTAATTGTATATATGTGAAATTTTAACATATAAATGTTTGTTTTAACTTTTATGTGGGGTATTTATGGTGTTTGACATTCCTCAATCTTGTATGAGACATTTGCGAATCATGTTTGTTATTCGAATTTTTGGTTTTGTAATTTTAACATATTCGTGATTGATGTAGAACCTAGGGACAATTTTGGTATACGAGGGTGCAACAGTCATTTGGTTCATTTAGGATGTATAAGTAAGGGATCTTTTTGGTATAAGGGTAAGGGGCATTTTTGGTAATGTAAGAGGTATTTTTGGTATAAGGGGAATTTTTGGTATTTAATGTAGGACCTAGGGGCAATTTTGGTAATGTAAGATGTATTTTTGGTATAAGGGGCAGTTTTGGTATTTAAGAGGTAAATGCCTATGTGAGCATTATAAAAATTTGGACAATTTCTATTTGGTGTTAAAAATGTGGTACATTGTTATTTTTGTACATGCAATGTTGCATCTTCCAAACACAAATGGACCCCACTAAACAAAAGAAATGGTAATATAAGGACTTGGGTATGATCTGTTTTGTCCCCTTTAAGTGCATCCATGTGGGTGCATGTTATATTTTGTCCCATATAAAAAAGAAAGAATTTGTCCCACTATTTTTGGCATGTGGTCCCAAGTTCCAACTGTATAATACATAGGTATTTTGTTATGCAGATGTTATATGATTTTTTTGGCTTTCATGCAGAAACAACATAAAAACACAAGTAGTTAAGCATAAATGTTAGGATTTCATTACTTATAGGTTTGTTTCTTTTACAGTTCCATCTAGGTGGTTACATAAGACTACAAAGATACAAACTAAACGGATAATATCTATTACTAGTAACGTCATTCCCACCCCCCCCCCCCCCCCACAAAAAAAAAATAACTAATATACCCCTCAAAACATCTACCAAAATAACAACTAAGAACAGGGGTATTTTACATCAGCAAAATTACAGAATGAAATCGTTCAACCTTCCATCAATTGAGGTACTTGTAGGTTGCAATCCCCAAAGCAACCACATTCATAAAATCCATCAACCAGTTACGCTTCTTCACCAATAACTTCAAATAACATGCCTGAAGAGAGTAGAAATGATTTCTCAGATCACCCATTGTGTTAAGCAAGTCGACTTGTCCAGCCCTAATGTCATCTACCTTTATGTTTAGAGCATCCAACCGTCTTTTCACGCTCTCCTAAAACTGAACCATGTCTACAGCAAGCACATCCCGAATGAGTGCCATTTCCAGTTGAGTTTGAAGCAAGCTAATGGCAAGATCTTCCTCCCGAACACCATTTGAACTGCTTCCACCTTAATTGATGGGTTTTGAGCATATCTATATTCCTATGTGATCATGCAATGCTAATTGCTTTGGATCTAAGTTTTTCACTAATTGAACTTACAAATAGAACACCAAAGCAATAACACTAGATCTAGCATACAAGATTTGAAATTCATATGAAATTAGGGTTAGAATATTACCTCACTTTTTATGTAGTAATAACAAGAGTTCCTTGAAGATCCTTGACTCTTGAAAGCTTAGTGCCCCAAGTGTTGCACCTCTAATGGAGTCACAAAACCTCAATGCAAAGGATGAGTTGGAGAGACAAGGAAATCGGCTACACTAGGGTTTCATAAGCATATGGCCGAAAATCCAAGATGGTGGGGATCTTTATATAGCTGTGGGCTGCTAGGGTTTCTGGAGGAAACCCTAATTCCTGCTTAAGTCTTAAGTAGCCGATGGACTCCTCCTTGTGAGGCCTTGGACGAAATCTATAGGGCCTCCATATAGGATTTCGTCAACTCCTAATTAAGGAGTCCAATAGCCTAGTTCTGCAACAATCAATGATTTGTAAAACAACCCCTTCAATTATTAATCAGTTCCTTTAATCCCAAAATTAATATCAAATTAATTTTCGATTAATTACTAATTAATAATTTGATTTCCAAATAATATATTAAAAAAATCATTTTGAGTACCGATTTATTATTTCAAATAATAAATCCTACTCTCTCCACCAGTCAATCTGTCAAGTTGCATGAGTGAAGGCAATCCAAAAGGACCATGCTACTATCAAATCAAGTACATACCAATTATAGTTATGGGCTTAGACACCTAATCCAATAGTCTCCCACTTGGATAAGTCTAATAACTATTATTGCAAGTATGACTTCAAAATTTGACCAACAATCGCAGCTTTTAAAAGCCGTTGTCGAACTCTGATCTAATCAATAACATGTCCTTTCGATAAATGATCAAATATCCCATCGTTCTACAAGATATCGTATGGACATAAGACATGGATCATAATCATTCTCTCTGTCCAATGTTTGTTTCCCAATTTCCGATTTATGACGACTTACTAATTGAACAAATCAAATCAGTCCAGGCTTGGCCAAGCACTTAGGGTGTCATCACTAAATCATCGAGGGGCCCACATATATCGCTTTTATCCCATTTAGGGTAAAAGGAACGGATAAACTTCGGCTCATATGCTTGTAGAATTTACTCATCAAATCACACACAACAATACGTTTTATAACATCAAGTTACTGACGCGTTTACGTATTATCAATCCACAACCGACTCGTAAACAAAAACTCATATGTCTCCGTTTCAAGAATATAAGATATTATCGTCTCAAAATTACTCGTGATAAAATCCATGAAGTAATACTTGAGCTTGGGTTAATCCAATACTCAAATTCCTATTTCAGGAGTACTCATGAACACTGCAGCAAATATTTGCTATGTCTAAGCACTTAGACAATCTACAGTCGGATTCATGACAGTCTTAATTCACTACTTACTTCCAAAAGTATGATTGACTGTGGATGTTTGAATAACCTAGTTATTCGGGAAGTAAAACATGCGAAATGAAACACAAGAATAATCTAATCCAATATGGTCCCAAAACTTTTGAATATAAATAAAACACTTATTATTTAATCACCATATTAATTAGACCTTATTCATTGTATAATGTTTCGAACAATCAACTTAATACTTGAAATAAAACAATAGTCATCCCGTGCTCCAAGCATGCACACTATGTTTATCTATTGTTCTTTCCTTTGTGAAATAGACCAATTGAACACATTTCCAATAATGATCATTTCACAATTCCAAATCCTTATCATAAGTGTAAGAATATCAAATTCTTGCCACTACCAGAATCTTTTAGAGTCTGAATGTACATGCAATGATCCTTTTGTAATGTCATGACACCAAAGTCATAGAGACTTTGCCAATGATATTACAAAGCATTCCATTGGAGATTGGTTACAAAAATAATTCTATGGAAATGAAGTCTCACATTCAAAGAGCATTCCTTGAACATTCTTCTTACATTAAGGTTTCTAACTCGCACATATATCTCAATATCCATCTCCCATAGTGGAAACATTTCCATATTTCCATATGACTAACAATTCTGAACAAGAGTTACCTCTATTCAGAAAATGTCAATATGGTTCATCCAAATTAATACTATACTTCCAACTGTCCATAAGTAACCAATCTTTGGTAAACCTCAGATTGTCCTTGACAGTTGTTTAACAACTTTAGGCATATTAGGTTCTATTCCTTTTCCCCTCTGAATGCCCTAGGCATTTGGAAAAATCAGAACGAGTGAATATTAGAGCATATGTAATTGATCCTACACCCGAAGCATATGGGATCCGATACATAATGTTTTACATAGAGGCATGATACTTGACTAGTCTCTTGCTATAATATTTCCATATATCGAATCTTCCTATGTTGAATCACTTCAACATGATATTCATATATGTTCATGACTGAGTTCCATTAAAACTTCAATCTAAACTTTTAGATTTGAAATGAAGTATAAGTATCCTCTCCCTTAAGCCTTACTATAGCGAAACAATTTCTAAATTCTGCAACTTTGCAAATTTAGAACGTTGTTTCCTATAAATAGCATTGCTAACTTGCAACACTTAACATAATAGTCATGCTCCCACTAGCATAATAATTATGTTCTTACCAGCATAATAATTATGCTCCCACTAGCTTTGACATGTTCTCAGAAATCAGCTGGACTTCTAGAAATCAATGCCTATTAACTTTCTTACCAAAGTTCATATTTCTGATATGTGATGCTTTGATAAGTCTTTATCTAGACTTCTCAAGCTCATACACCTTTCATTAGATAGCATATGTGAGTGTCTAAACCCTTTCAAAACTTATAGCAATAAGTCCCGAATGTTCAAACTAATTGCCATTTCTCACAATTTGAACTATGAAAAGGGATGCCGTAATCATACTCGAATTTGAGAACACAATTATCACAACTGCCAACTCTTTAAAATCTACAAGTGAAAGCGTTTCCTCACAATCATTTTCATGAAGTAGAGAGAAACCTATTACCACTTAGATTTTATGGTGTATGTGTTCCTATCCAGGTGAATTTGTCATTTCCAACCACTATCATAAGATAAGGTTTATGACAAATTCAAACTCATATGGAATGAACTTGCTTAATCTTAATTTCTTTCCATCCGGTAGCACAAGGGCCTACCAGTGCTTCCAAGTGATTGAGCAGCTCATCCATACAAATCAATGTACTTTCACTGATCAAGGTGCTTTGACTTATGCGAACAAATGAGAACTCATAGAACTCACATGCATAGTCAACTCAACTGGAATGGGCACAGAAACATGAATATGTCAACACGATAGGTTATCAACCTCAAGTCGTGTGCTAGTGTTAACTAAAAGGTTTATTCTTGATTAGTTCCTGAAACTACTCACGACCATTAAGACTCCCACTGACTTCTTGACATATAAGATTCTATGTCAAAGAACATTTCTCGACAAATAAATATTGAAGAGTTAGTGTGGGTTCTTTATCAAGAAAACACTTCATATAATTGGTCTTAGTTGGTCTTTGTTTAAACCAAAACATCACAACTACCAATTTCAAATGTGCAAGAGTAAGAAAACATTTCTACTC